GCACAACCACACACGCTCTACACAACGGCACTATTAGACACAGATTTTAAATGCTTACTTTGCTCAGAAAGGTAAAAGAAATCATTAAAAACTTTGACAGTAATACAGAAACTATTAAAAAATAGAGATTCTGAACAGAAAATTACAAGAATTAGGTGACGCATGGGTGGCTCAGTCAGTTGAGCGTCCAACTCTTGATCAAAGCTCAGGTCTTGATCTCAGGGTCGTGAGTTCAAGCCCCATGCTGGGTGTGGAGCCTACTTTAAAATAAATAAATAGACAAACACAAGAATTAGAAATTCAATTGACGGGTTTAATAACAAATAAGACACACCTGAAGAGAGAGCCCGTGACATGGACTATGGGGCACAGACCCCACAGTGAAACGGACAGGCAAGGGGAGGAGGCAGGAGAGGCGGGAGAGACGTGAAGGGTCGAGACGCAGGTCTACCTTGGGAAGCCTGGAGCCCCAGACGCAGTGGGAGAAAGAAGAGCAGAAGAGTGAAATCTGGAGAAATAATGGCTGAGTACTTCCAAAAGTGACCCAAACAACCTGCTGACACACGGATTACAGAGACCCTGTCACCCACTTGCTCTCCGTGTGTTGTGTGAGCCATGAAAACCAGACACGAAGTGGCCAGAGAAAATTAACAGGCTGCCTCCAACAGAGCAGCGAAGAATAGGTAAGTTCTCAACAAAACAGGAAAGAAACTGAGAAAACAACACAAAGTTATCTTTAAAGTACCAATCAATCAGTCAATGTGGAACTTAAGTTCTACACCCAGCAACAATGCCCTTTAGGAATGAAGGTGAAAAATGACGTTTTCAGACAAATCAGAGGGCTTATTGCCAGCAGACATGCCCCATGGAAAACTTGAAGAGCATCTGTTCTTCAGGCAAAGGAAAATGACCCCTTCAGAAGCTCTGAAATGCAGAAAGGAATAGATTCCTTAAACGGCAGGCATGTGGATACATTTAAATGAGTTTCAACTACATGAAACGATAGTTTTGACTGAAAACATGTATGAAATTGGAAGACACGACAAGAATAGCTTGTGTAGGGAGGTCGTGCCTGGGTCCTCATCTCCCACACTAGGAAGCAAATCAGTAACATGTGTTCAAGAAAAATGCTCTGGCTTACCTCCTCCTGGTGACTAAGGGCCCTGGAGGGCCTCACCTTCCTCTGCACCCCCGTACTGACCCAACAGAGTGCAAGCTAGTGCCCCCACCCAAGAGCAGCAACACCCCCCAGCATGTGCCCCCCCGACGATGCCCCCCGAGGTGCATCCCTTGCAGGCAGCCCCCCAGAACAGAGAGCAGGGTGGGAAAGAGGGAGGGGTGGATGGAGAGCACCCCCCCACACACACACCCACACAACAGACCACAAGCCACAGCAATCCTCCGGGGTGGTATGAAAACACCAAAACAGCAATAAGGTTGCTTTTTTTTTTTCTCCGTCTTTGCACAAAACAAAGCAGTTTCTCTATGTCATCATCACTCCAGCATGGGTAAGTGGTGGGTGCGGCAGGTGCACAAAGAGGGGGGAAGGCTGCTTCTCCTCAAGTCTTTCCAAATACCACCACCAGGAAGCAACTGAGAACAGGCAGTGATTCCGTGCTCCCCCATGTAGCACGGCTGGGCGGGCCGAGGGGACAGGCCCAGCACCACGCGCTGCCCAGGGCGCGCCACATGGTGCGGACTCCGGAGTGCACCTCGCCACCATGTGAGGAAGGGCCTGACGGTACACATGTTCCTTCTGCCGGTCATTTCCTGTCTTGAGAAGCCATTTCTCCCAAGCTGCTGACATAGATCTGTGACGGTGGGCGACACGTCTGACAGTGCCCGGCTGTGCGTCCAGCAGCTGCCGTGATAAAAGCTGAAGCAGCTCACCCACTGGCACAGGAAGCTGCGATCACTTATCAGCAAGGCGTAGTATACACAGCAGGATCCCAACTTCACAAGGCATAACTCTCCAAGGAAAGAACAGCTACCTTGATGGAATCCTAATACACAGGCAACAGTGCGGCAGGAGACCCCGTGGTCAACGGGGACCACACGGTCAACGGGGACCACGCCTCCAGCGGCCTGCCCTGCGGAGCCGGACTGCATTGCTCTGGCTGGGAGCTGGAGAGCCTGCACCCACCCCACACAGGCCAAGCCACGAAACCCAGGAACAGTCTACAGATCAGGAGCTGTGGACGGTGTGCAGGGGAGTCTTAATGGCTCTGCACCCGAGGGCAGTGACCAAGTCCTCATCCAAGGGCCACACGCTTATCTTGGCCAAATGGCAGCCCCTCAGCAGTTCCAGCTGTCAGCACATAGAAATCAGTTCTCGTGTCTGGAGTTTATTCTCCAGTGACATCAGTCGAACCCATGGGAATGGAGAGAAGCTCCTGCAGGCCAGGCAGGAGGCACGGACAGAAATCCAAGAGGTCGATGCAGACCCTGCCTATCAGCCAAGGGCTGCGGGGTCGTGGGCCTTCTCCCTGTGCACGACCATTTGGTGGTGCACGCCAAGCAAGGCTCACTCAGCGCTTCGGGAACTTGGTCACCAGCAGCCCATCTGTAAGGCAGGTGAGGCCCCTCAGGGCAACTGGAGTCAGTGAGGACACAGCCCTCTAGGTACTCGAGACAGACCATCTTCATTAGCAACGGACTTAGAAACTCAGTCAGGCTCTCCTCCGGGCACTGTTGTGGAACAGTCTACAACATGTCTGTGCTTCCTTCCTTGCATCCAGAAAGAGAAACACTGAAAATAAAACAACTTACTTGGAAGAAGTCTTAGGGAAACCTGAGCCTTGTAACAAACCGCCGGGGATCTGAGGGGAGCCCGCCGGCTTCATCTAGGGTTGAGAGTCTGGGCGCCATTTTTACAACAGACTCAGATCTGCAAGGAGCTCTGTTCAGCTTTCCTGCTGCCACTGCCTATCTGAGCCCCTCCCTCCGCACCCCAGCATCGACTTTGCCCTTCGCTGCTCCCCTGTTGTGTTTCCTCAGCGAGTGGCTTCGTTCTTCTTTCTCAAGGACCAGCACCGACACGGTGTGCGGCTGTGGCGCACTCTGGTTTTCTCGGCTACGGTCATCACCTCTCGCTGTTATGCTGCTCCTCCCCTGCACGCTACACAGGTGAGGGTGTGTGCACGCCGCCCCTCGGGCCGCGCGGCCCAGCTGAGCTTGCCTGTGCCTCTGAGCATGGCCAAGCTGCAGAGGAATGGGGCACAGACTCGTGTGTTGATGATGTTGCTTTTTCAACGGATCCCAGGAGCCCCTGACTTCTTCCCGCTTGCAGGCCAGGCAAGTGCTGTCGTGTATGGTCTGACTCAGATGCAGGGCAATCCTGGCGGCACAGCTCCCTGCCAGGCCACCACACCAGTGCGATCTGAGACCTCTGCTGTGACCAGCTGTGGCCCAAGGTCCTGCCCACACCCCCTCACTGTGCCCTTTGCTCCTCAGGGCCCCCTATGCCTGCCCGCCCAGGCCGTACCCCACACACTTCCTGCTCATGGCCCAAGGGACCACCTCGTCCACCAGGAGCCCAGCACCCAGGCTGCTCCTGTGACAGAGGGATGCGCGCCAGTCCTGCACGAAGGCCCCACTGCCGTCCGGGGCTGCACACGGAGGTCAGAGCAGCACAGACACTATGCACAGCTCGGCGGGCTGGAGGCCTGCAGACCAGCTCTGAGGTCGGAGTACAGGGAGTACGGGAAGCTCAAGACCCTCTCTGCAGCCACTCAAGGATTTGCACATGGTCGCTGCTCCTTAATAAAACCGAGACTCTCAGGGCGCCTGGGTGGCTCAGTCTTTGGGCGTCTGCCTTCGGCTCGGGTCATGATCCCAGGGTCCTGGGATCGAGCCCCACATCGGGCTCCCTGCCCGTGGGAGGCCTGTGGGAGGCCTGCTTCTCCCTCTCACACTCCCCCTGCTTCTGTTCCCGCTCTCGCTGGGTCTCTCTGGCAAGTAAATAAAATCTTAAAAAAAAAAAAAAAACAACTGAGAATCCCAAATGAGGACTGAGGCAGAAGTAGGAAACTAGCAGTTCTTTGTGAAGACGAGGATTTGGGGCAAATCAGAGCAGCAAGGCATGCTGCAACCCCCCTTCTGGGCTAGCTGGCCGGGGAGGGGGATACAGGGACAGTTCTGGGGGCGCCAACTGGGTGGGGCAGAGCACATGGGAGGAAGGACACAGCCGGAACAGTGAGAACCGGTGCGGTGGATTATTCCAGAATAATCCACCTTTGCGGCAGAAGCAAAGGGACAAGAGTTCCAGGAAGAAAAAGAACCACCAAGCACACATACTGAAGGGTCCGGTCCAGAGTCAGGCTGGGGGACTGCGCAGAGCGCTCAGAGAGCCTGGGAGGGACGGAGGACTGGCGGTGCCCGCCCCTCCCGCACCAGCCCAGCTCCGGCCATGTGCTTACCAGTCCCCACCCTATGGTCAGCCCACCAGAGGCCTGCCCTCTGAGACTACAGGCCCTCCCTGACTTCTCCACTCCCTGGTGAGGGGCTCCCCTGCATCCAGGCCTGCCCGCCTGCGCACAGCCAGGTGCCTGACAAACGACCCCCAGACAAGTGGAGGAGTGCTGGGGTTTCTCGTGGATTTAGCTGGGAAGGCTCCAGAAAAGCCAGGCATCGTCTGAGTTCCCCGTGGACATTCAACTGAAATCTGAAGTCTACCCTTTGCTGTACGGTTAAACACAGAGCGCACTGAGGAGGGAAAGACGGTGACAGCCCTCCGTGAAGACAAATCACAGCTCCGTTCGCTCACCCTAGCCTAGCCGCCGACCCTGTGGCTGCCAAAATACATCAGAACACACAGGAGCTGAAAGACCCTGCAGTGAGCACGCAGGAGTGGAGGCGGCAGGTGGGCCCTCGGTCGCAGGAGCCACGTGTGCCGCAGCACACTTCTGGCCCGGAGGACCACGCAGACCACGCAGCACTGGAGATAGGGAAGCCAACGCCCTTAGGACTTTGTCACGTACAAGCCCATGGCTCAGACCTACCTGCTTGTCTCATGAGTTCTCCTCCGAGACCCCTGAAAATTAATGAAGACAGAGTTAAAATCTTTCTTATACATCACAACATAAAATATCCTAAGTGACAGGTATAACTTCGGGCTCTGAAGTTACACAGTGAGATGCTGCTCAGCTGCACTTCCTCCTGCTGGTAATCACTGCCTTTCAGTAAAGAAATGGAAGACGTGCTGTGACCATCCTCCAGATGAAGTCATTCTGATTCTCGGGTTTTCCTGGGCACGATAATCCTTATGGCATGAACCGCACCGTACAGTCACACGGCACAAGAACAAGGGACACCGGGAAGTTACCACCATCCAGCCCGAGGAAGCAAGCCACTAAGGTCCGCTAGAGAAGAAACATGGCCCGTTCTGGACACCTAATACCGGACACTGAGCACAGTGAAGTGGCAGATGTGAACATAAGCGCACTCCACAAGAAGACAGAAGTCTGTTTATGAGACTGCGGCTTCTGGCGCAGAGTAACAGGACTGTCTCCCTTCTGCGCTAAGCGATTCAGAAACTGGATGACATCTAGGAAAGGAAGGCTCCCGACATGGAGAACAGAGTCTGGGGCAGGAGGGAAGCAGGCAAGTCAAGGGCGCTCCCAGGCTCAGGGTGGGGAGCCAAGCCCAGGGGCCACCTGCCCGCTGAGTCCAGGAGAAATTCAAACCAAATTTAAAAGCAGCACAGATGTATTTAGAATCTGTGAAATGCTAATGGGCACCACCATAAGCCATCGGCTATCAGACAAAGCTATGCGCTAGGGCATTCCCTCGTCCTGGGGGGTCTGCCTGAGGCTCTCTGCCCACTCCGGACCACGGTTTATCAGTCCAGGGGGCTGAAGCATTTCACCAGAAAGAAATGAGCATGCTCTCTACTTGAGGCGCAGCTGCTCCTCTTTGCTGTCAGAACAGGTGGAAAGCCAGCGTGGACGGTGTCGGTGAACAGTCGAGAGCCCAAGGGGAGCTCCCAGGTGCTGACCCCTCCTCACCAGCCATCAAGGAAAGCGTGCGGCGGGAGCAGTCACGTCCATGCCCGAAAGCACAGCCACGCCACCCTCCCGCCCTGGGACCACGCTGTGCAGCGGCCGTCCGTGTGCACGCTCAGCTCCACCAGGCACTTCTGGTGAAGTGTCCATGAACCCACACTGGGGAAGAAAGCAGCACCTCTGTAGTCGCCCAGGAGGTGCGTATCGTCTGCAGGGAAACACAAACATCCTGCCCCAACCAGAGTGGAAGAACAGTTGAAGGGGACAACACTGTGGAAGCATCCCAAGACCTCAGACACATCTCTGCACCAACCACGGGGCCCGTGGAGCCACGGAAGGTCCGGACACAGGCCCAGCCAGGTCCCACCGGTGCTCACGAGATGCGAATGAGCCCCACTACACACTGGCTCAAGCACAGGGCTGTCCGTGGGGGGATAGCCATTAAGAGAGGCCGCATCTGTGCCACTGAGCCATCGACAGAGCTGTCCAGAAGAGGGGATTCTGAGATAGGACAGGAGCGCAGAAGAGCAGCTTTAAATTAACTTAGACCAGCTGCCAAAGCAGCAGAGAACAACGCTAGCTAGCCCCTCACCAGGGGCTCAGGCCAGGACCACTGCTTCTCGGCCCCCTTCCAGGGCTTCTCCTGCTGAGGAACTTCTTTCAGAACTACTCAGGTGACCTGAGGAGGTCTGAGACCCTGGCCAGGGGTAAGAGCAGGCCATGCACTTTCAGGAAGAGACGAAAAGGTGAACATGTCAAGAACAACAGAGAACAGGCCACGTTCCCTACCCTGAACAGTTACATTAAAAAGCCACAAGGAAAAATGAAAAGGTAAGCCCCAGAGTGGGAGAAAATTCTGGGCGATCACATCTATAAAGAGCTCACATCTAGAACATATGGAGTGCTGACAGCTCAGTGAGGAAACAGACCATGAAATTTTTTTAATAAGCAAAAGACTTGAACAGTCACTTCACGGAAGGAGATAGAAGATGGCCAGTCACACAGGAGAAGATGCCAAGCTCACTAGCCCGCAGGGAGATGCAACTCAGGGCTGTGCTCGCGACCTCTGCACACCCACAGGGGCGGCTCCCGGTGAAGACTGCCCACCATGTGTGCTGAGGACAGAGAACGCTCCCAAACACTGCTGGTGGAAGCAAAGGGGCGCAGCCCTTCGGAGAAGTCTGACGGGGCCTTAAAAATACACCACCACCACCTCCCCCAGGGATTTACCCAAGAAAAGTGGAAACACACATCCAGACCAGGACTTGACCACCAATGTTCACAGCACAAGTATCCCAAGTAGCCAAAAGGTGGAACAACCCAACCCCCACCCCGACCTGGTGGGCAGATAAACACACCAAAGACAACACCGTGGTGCACACCACAACAAGGGTGAGCCTCTGAAACCTCACGCTAAGTGAAAGCAGCCAGACCGCAAGGACGTCCCGGTGGGACTCCATCTGCATGAAATTCACAAGGGGCAGCTCTACAGAGAAAGAGCTCAGATGGGGCCCCCGGGACTGGGCTGGGGACCGCTGCAAAGGGCAGGAGGAAAGCGTCAGGGTGACACCAGCTGCTCAGCATGGCGGCTGCAGCCACGCGGCCATCTGCAATGACCAGCACCCATCGGACCACACGCTTACACAAGCAAACTTTATTACAGGACACAGAAACCTCAATAAAGCTTAAAAACACCAACGAGGCTAGTTCGACCTTCACATCTTCTAACTGTGATGCCCCTTCAAAGAAAGTAACACAAGCCAGGTATCCATGGGGGTGACTGGACAGAAGCCCTAACAGGCCAGCCCAATCTTCACTGACAGAGTATTTTTTCTTTAAGACACAAAACAAGAACATGGGGTTTGTGAAGCTTACCTGTATAACTGACGATCATAAAGCTAAAATGAAGAAGTGAAAGTTAGTTATTTAAATTAATTGATTTTTTAAAACCACACAGTAGATATAGAACATTACTGAGCACTGGACAGGAGTGATGAGGACACAGCAGGAACAAGCGTTTCTCAGGCTGGGCGTCCTCATAGAGCTGACAGCGGGGTCCTCATGACAGAGCCCACTCTACTCCCAGCAAGCACCTCATGACAGCCTGCTTTCTGGTGCCCCCACTTGGAAGGGGAAACCAAGGCACAGAGAGGGGAGCCAGGACTGACCTGTGTCCTGGTTCCAAGGTCCCCAGACAGCCTCTTGGGCAGCCGGGACCACCAGCACCCCTCTCCCCAAGATGGCACTGAGCTTGGCCAATGCCTTCTTCGTGTCCCACAGAAACTCAAGGGGGGCAGGCTCTGCTGCTTCCTGAACTCCACAAAGAACCCCTAGCTTGGGGATGCCCCGCCTGGCTGCCGAGTCTCCACGCTGCACCCCTCTCAGCACCACCCTCATGCACACCACCACACAGCACTCCCACACCCCACTGAATGGATTTGCCAAAATCATAGCCAGTAGCATACACAGGATGAGGATCTGATATCAACATGGTGTTATACCTACAGAGATAAATCTTAAAGAATATAGAACTCTATTCGGAACAACAAATATTCAACCCATCTAAAACCTCACGAGTGACTTTGATGTTATCCGGTAACATTAGGCCTGTAATTCACACTTCACTTCTTCTGAATCGCAGAGATTTGGAAAATCTCAAAAACCCACAAAAATGGACGTACTTCCCCCCCAACTCTAAGATGTGCGAACACAGAGTCTGGGTGTAATTTCAGACGGCAGTCCCACCGTGGAGGCACAGGTGGGAGTCAGAGCCATCATGCTCATTCTATGTGCCGCCTCCACAGAACAGGCCACGTCCATGACAGAGGCATGGAACGCGCCCGAGTCGCTGAGCTCCCAGGGAACAAGTGTAGCCAGGCAGCACAGAAAGACGAGCACCAGACAGGAGAGACCGTGTCACCTGCCCGGGCCCCGATCAGTGGCAGGAGGAGAGCGCGTGTACCTCCCATCCCAGACGAGCCACCAATGAGGCCAAAGGAGAGACCTGCTTCTGAGCAATGGGCCCCAGGACTGGTCTCAGCAGGACCTGTCCTGTCATCAGACTCTGGGGCTTCAATCAGGGCTAAGGAGCGGAGAGAGAGCTTGTAAGGGCAGAGGACAATTCCAGGCACCAGGAGACCTGGAGAATGGGACCCTCCCAGGGGCTGCACACAAACCTGCTGGTGAATCTGCTTCAGGCCCTGCACTGCCGCTTCATCCAGGTAGTCTGCGACGGGCCTGCGTGGGTTCAAACACAACAGCTGAGATCCTGAGGACAGCAAGCACTAAAGGAGCCTGGGGCTCAGAAAGGTCTGCACTTTGTTCAGGTGCCCAACCAGCTTCCCCAAACACCTGTAGAGGGTAATCCCCGAAAGCAGCATCTACTCAAAGAGGGAGGTGTATGGACCTTCCCGTAAAGCCATGACCCATGCAGCAGCTTGCTGACAATGGACACAGCCCTGGGATGGAGACAGAAAGGGCCCTGCTGGAGAACCGAGACCCCCAGGACCCCAGAGCAGCCAATACGACTGTCTGAGAAAAGAGACAAGACCCCCCAATGCTGAGCTGAGGGCCTGTGACCAGACAAGAGCTCACACAGCGGCTTCATGCTGCCAAGGCACAGTTGGCCCTCAGCCTGCATCCAAGAACCTGGATCTCGGGACGCTTCCCATCCTTCCCTAACTGTGAATGGGGATTCTCTGTGCCTAGACTGTTGGTACAAACCAGGTGCCTTATGCTGACATCTGTTTTCCTTCTGGGAGTCTGGGATGTGGGTCCAGGCAGAGGCTACCCCATCCCAGCCCCCAAGAAAACCCCAGTGCTGGTCTCTCTGACTTGCCCCGGTGAACACTTTCCCAGGTTGTCACGCCCTGGTGCATCCCATGCCACTGTACTGGGCAGGACTCGGGTCTCGCCTGGTCTCTGCTCAACCACAGAGAGCACTGCCGTCAACACCAAGTCCTCGGCCTGGCCCACAGGTGCCATTTCACCCCCATGTGGATGTCCTTAAAGCTGCACGACAGTGTACATCTAGGCCATGGGGCGCAAGGGGTGAACCAGATCAAAGCTCCTGGGCTTGTCGCCAGAACCCTGCCTCACATGGCCCCCGGGGAATCATCCAGAGTGACCTGATGGGATTAAAACACAGTGTTCCTCAAACTGCAATCCAAAATCCAGGTTGCAGACACTGGTGTGTGTTGTGAGCTTTTCCTTTTGTGGAAAAGTCGGTTGGAAAGAGAAGTAGAAACCCCAATGGTACCCTACAAACGTACAAAACATGGCACATATGGAGCTGCTCCGAATGCCCCTGTGCTCCCCCACTGTTTGTTAGAGCTCTGCCAGCTAGAAAAGTTCTCAGTGGAAATGTTACCATTTATATTCTCTGGTATTCTAAATTATGAAAAGTAATAATGAGCGAAGAATACTGAGTATACGTCCCACTCACTACCCTCTCTGAAAACATGTCTTGCTTTTATAACCTAACTCGATACCCAGAAAGACAAGGGAACGTAAGAAAACAGCCACACCTAAGGCCATCGGTGGCCCCAGCTGGCCAGGAGCTCGCAGGCTCCTGCTGGAGAGGTGGCAGTCCGTCAACGGACACGGCTCGTGAGAGGAGAGAGAACACTGAAAAACTTCGTCAAATAAAACACAGGAATCTGACGACCAGTGACACCGTCACAAGTAAACAAACATGAAGGTGGACGGGGGTCCCCAGCTCGCAACTGCAGTGGCTCCATGGGACCGTGGTGCTTCTCCTACCTGTCCTCTTGTACTGAGAGTCTGTACAGGCCACGGGCGACCTCCGCACAGGCAAGCACAGCTCCATGCCGCGTGTGCAGGTCCAGACTCTGCGTCATCGACAGCAGACGTGGGAGAACTGCAAAGGACAGGGGCCAGACGACACATCAGTGAGTGCGCAGAGGATAATGTGTCAGACTCACAGACTCGGGATCCAAAGGGGAGACATACCCATGGAACGTGACCTCTGTAAGGGCCACGAGCGCAATACCTGGGACTTAACCCAAGTCAACAGGCCAAACCCTCCTCGGCACCCAGAGAAGTGAGCGAAATGGGGGAGGGGAGCTTCCCAATCCTCAGGTCCCCGAGACACAGGGCAGGGACACAGAGTGAAGAGAGAGAATTGGGTCTTTGCTGTGGCTGAATGGCTGGCAGAGGCTCTGCCTTGAGCACAGAGCAGGATGGAGGCCGAGCGGCAGGACCCTACAGTTGTGCGTGATGCGCCTCAGTGTGGGAGCCCGCTGCCCCTGCTCAGAGCAAAGGACACTTCTACGACTTTGGTGCTCTGGCGACAGAAAGCAAAGTCACAAAATCCTCGCGGGCTGGTGGAGTGCAGACAAGGAGCCATGTCCACACCAGCTCTGCCCCACCAACCTGGGAAATCCCATCCCTCTGAGCTTCCACTTCCCTGAACACGCAAATGCAGTGCTGCAGGGGCTGTAGAAGCAGACGGCGCCCAAGCCAGAGGCACCCCACACAGGCGCTCAAACATGGCAGCTAGCAGCGGTCAGTGTTCAAGAACTGGGGAAATCCCTCATCCTGTTAATGCTCTCCTACCGGAAAGAAAGGACAAGGTGGAGCGCCCCTTCATTCAGGCCATGACGATTATCAATTATAGGTAAATAAGAGACTCCTGACATCGCATTTCACAAACAGACCGTGAAGGTGAAGGCCTTTAGAAACTAACGGCCCAGAGTGTGTGAGAGGCACACATAAGTAAAATCGGTGACTCCAAATGAAGAGCCACAATGTGACCACTAGTTACCCTATAAAGTCAGTGAGAATAAGCATAATTTAAAGAAATTTGAGTATGGGGCGCCTGGGTGGCTCAGTCGTTAAGCGTCTGCCTTCAGCTCAGGTCATGATCCCAGGGTCCTGGGATCGAGCCCCGCATCGGGCTCCCTCTCCGCGGGAAGCCTGCTTCTCCCTCTCCCACTCCCCCTGCTTGTGTTCCTGCTCTCGCTATCTCTCTCTCTGTCAAGTAAATAAATAAAATCTTTAAAAAAAAAAAAGAAAGAAAGAAAGAAATTTGAGTATGGCTCCCTATATTGAAATCAAATGTTTGTTTATTCTGGAATATGGGTTCTCTCCTTAATGATAATGGGTGTGGTCCCTTTGGACCTGGCAGTTCTCCTCTCCTATTCCCTCAGCCAGGAGCTGCCAGAAAGCAGCTCATTTTTTAATTTATTAGATTGTGAATTACTTCATTTAAAAAAAAAAAAAGCTACTTCTGAAATACACGAGACACACAACGGAAGCCATCGGCTCCCTGCGGTAATCGGTGCCTGCACCCAGGGCACACACACACACCGCAACGTTCATGGCGTCTGGTTGTGTTCTGTCCCCTGACCAAGCGCAGACCAGCTCTTCATTCACGTGCTTCTCAGCGAGAGAGAAACACAAGGTCACCCTCAGCCCTCCAGGCCTGGACCCCAGCACAGCGGCCTGTCCTCGCCCTGTGCTGTGTGCGTGGCGGATGCGCAGGCGCACACGCGTGTGCGTGTGTTGCCAGCAGGACAGCGGAACACACCCACCGTGAGCGGCGCTGTACTCAGGAGCTCGCTGGGCCAGGTTATGCAGAGCCTTCGCAGACAGCTCCCTGATGACTCTGGGGGAGGGATGAAGACAACCGTCAGTTCCTTCCTTCTGATGATTCGAACTTTATTCCACTCATGAAGAGAGAGGACAGACAGAACACAGGAGTGCCAACTGCCCACTGACTCAGAACCACCAATAAAAACAAACAAATAAGCACCTGTGACTGTAACACAAGAACAAGCAAACTGACCAAACGGAGGGCCTGAGCCAGGCCTGCAAGGGGCACAGCCTCCCTCTCTGGGTGCCATGTGGCAGTGTGTCTCCAACCTCCCACGCCCCAAGGGATTCAGGAGACGGGCGCACTGGGCAGAGCCACGTGGAACCCTCACTGTGAGGACCACAGGGTTGCACGGGAGGAACGTCGTATGGCTAAGGCACAAATCGCATCAGTACAGATACTTCCGATGAAAAAACATCAGACACGTTCTCAACACATCAAACGACAGAAGGAAGCCCCCAGGGCTGGGGAGTGAGGGCCTGAGGCCCTCCTGAGCCTGCTGGGGCCAGACGGCGCTGACCAGACCCAGCTTCCCCAACCTCACCCTAGCCGCCAGGCACTAGACGCCAGGAGGGCACAGCGGTGGAGACCAGTCATCACTGCAACAACAATGCTTTGGGTGATGACAACAGGACAACACAGAAACAGGATAAGAACATCAGGGTGGAAACAAACATGCAGAAGAGGGCTATCTGTATTTTGACGATTAAACATCCAAAATACATCAGCACTGACTGAACACAGAAACATGAAAACAGGATGTCCCCTGTACCAGGCAGGACCACGTCCCAGCCCTCCTGGGCCCCCAGGTCCTGCTTAGGGGGTCCACTTCTGACAGCAAACCACGAGTTCTTGGAGGCAGGGATGTCTCAGGCACCAAGAGCCTCAACACCACACATCCACGACCACCATGCCCAACACTAATCACTTGGTCACTAACACCAGTCAAACCCAGCACTGCAACCCCACAGCCTCCATAAGTATTTGGTCAACATTCAGGAAGCTGTTTCCGAAGAATGAGTGATTAAAGGGTCACAAAGCAGAGAACCATTTATTTCAGCAGGAAAAAGTCCCAAGGAGGCAAAGGGGGTGGCCACTCCAACAAGCACACTTACCTGCATCTTTCCCAATTAGTGCTACTTTGAGCATAAGCTTTCTCTACTTAAAACCGTTATATTTATCACCTAGACAGAAGACCTAAGACTATAAACTCTGAAAAGAAAAGAGAAGAGAAAAGCTTCGTGATGTTAGATCTGGTGACGACTTCTTGGATATGACACCGAAAGCACAGACAACAAGAGTAAAAATGGATAAACTGATAATAGATAAATCTGCATTAAAATCTATAACTTCTGCTTATCAGAGGACACAGTCAACAGAGTGATAAGGCAACCTATAGGATGGGAGAAAATACTTGCAAATTATGTATCTGATAATTGATTAATATAAGAATATATGAAAAACCTCTACAACTCAACAACAAAAAACAAGTAACTGGATTAAAAAATGGGCAAAGGACTTGAGACGTTTCTCCAAAGACGATAGACAAATAGCCAACTAACAAATGAAAAGATGCTCGACGTCAATAATCATCAGGGAAATGCAAATCAAAACCATGAGGTGCCACCTCACATCCAGTAAGATCGCCACCATCGGGAAAAGAGAAGTCAAGGAACAGTGAGGATATGGAGGGAAGGAATGTAAGATGGTGGCTATTATGAAAACCAGTACGGTTCTGGGGGCTCCTCAAAACTTTAAAAATAGAATTACCGTATGACCCAGTAATTCCACTTCTGGGTATTTACCCAAAAGAGCTGAAAGTGGGGTATTGAAGAGATATTTGCACACCTACATTCACAGCAGCAATATTCACAACAGTCAAGAGATGGAAGTAACCCCAGGGTCCACCAACAGATGAACGGGTGAAGAAAATGTGGTCTATACACACAGTGGAGTGTCACTCAGCCTTAAAACGGAAGGAAATCCCGTCACCTGCTACAACATGGATGAACGTTAAGGAGATTATGCTCGGTGAAATCAGCCAGTCACAAAAGGACAAATACTGTATCATTCCACTTACATCAGGACCCTGGAGGAATTGAATTCTTAGGGACAGAAAGTAGGATGATGGGTGCCAGGGGCTAAGGGAGGGGGTGAGGAGGACGAGTCCCTGTTCAGTGGGGACAGAGTTTCAGTTTTTCAAGATGAAGAAGTTCTGGAGATGAATGGTAGTAATGTGTGCACAACAAGGCAAATGTACGTAACACTACTGAACTGTACACAAAAAGTGGTTAAGATGATAGATATATGTGTATTTTCCCATAATCAAAAAAATTTAAAGTTATGTTTATCTTGATACGTAAATTATTTTGGGTGTCAGAAAACTTCCAAAAAGAAACCCAAGAGAATGGACCAATACCTCTTAAAAGTGACACTATTTAAGGTAAAACAGAATCCCTGTATGAGTCAAGGCACACTACACAACAGTGTTTGTGAAGTATTCTGCAAGGGGCTCCCCATTTTCCATGAGCAAGCCATGTGCTAACCAGAGAACTAGGAAGTCCCATTTGTGAACTTCCTTTTTTTTATTTTTTTATTTTTTTAAGATTTTATTTAGAAGTGCCTGGGTGGCTCAGATGGTTAAGCATCTGCCTTCGGCTCAGGTCATGATCTCCAGGTCCTGGGGTCGAGCCCCGCATCGGGCTCCTTGCTCAGCACGGAGTCTGCTTCTCCCTCTCCCTCTGCCGCTCCCCACTGCTCCTGCTGTCTCTCTCTCTCTCTGTATCTCTTGGTCTCAAACGAATAAATTTAAAAAAAAATTCTTTAAAAAATAAAAAGATCTTATTTATTTGTCAGAGAAAGAGAGTGCGTGCGCACAAGCAGCGGGGAGTAGCAGAGGGAGAAGCAGGCTCCCTGCTGAGCAAGGAGCCCGATGCGGGGCTCGATCCCAGGACCCTGGGATCTTTTTTTTTAAAGATTTTATTCATTTATTTGACAGAGAGAGACACACAGCGAGAGTGGGAACACAAGCAGGGGGAGTGGAAGAGGGAGAAGCAGGCTTCCCGCAGAGCAGGGAGCCCGATGCGGGACTCAATCCCAGGACCCTGGGATCATGACCTGAGCCGAAGGCAGACGCTTAACGACTGAGCCACCCAGGCGCCCCTATTTGTGAACTTCTAGCTGCTATCTCCTCACTGACAGAATCCAGGCCAAAGATAGACAGATGCAGAAACATCTCCACCTCTAAAGAATCATAAAATGTCAAGGCCACATCATGCTTTATAAAGCCCAATGTGCTAGAAAGTGTTAGCTGATGTTACCCTGAGGGTCTCCAAACCTGACAGAAAGTAGAACCAGACAACATTCCCCTCTATGCTGTGGCTCACATACACTGAACACTGTCAGGTTTTCAGAGCTTATTCTAAAAAAGAAAATGTCCACAAAGAATCTTTTTTAAATTAAATTAACAAAAGCCATGAGAAAATATAGAAAACAAACAGCAAGATGACAGGCAGAAAGTGAACCATGCTGATGATTATATTAAACATGCACAGACTAAGGGCCTCACACAAAAGGCAGACTTTGTCAGAATGGATATAAAAAGCAAGACCCTATAAAACACACACAGGCTGAGAGCAAAGGGCAGTAGGCGGGGAGCTGCTCCAAGGGCTCCATCTGGGCCTCTTTGGTAAGGCCCCAAGCTAAGAATGGTTTTTACATCCTAAAAGGTCATGTAAAGAAAAAACAGTAAAATATATGGAACAGAGACCTAAAGTATTTACTGGCTGGCCCTTTAAAGAAAGTATGCCGACCCTTATGCTTTAATTTTATCAAATCGCACTTTAAGACAAAAAATCTAACATGAAACAGAGAAGGACATGTCATGATGATAAAGGGCCAATCCGCTGGGAAGACACAAATGATAAATGTAAACGCACCTAACGAGAGAGGCCCAGAACTGAAGGAAGTGAGTGTTCTGACACATCAGCTGGAGAGTTCAACAGCTCAGGAGTTTATCTAACACCACAGGTAATAATACATGGACAGCTCTGGTCTTAAATACCCTACTGACTGATAGGCTAATTAACTGATTCATCACAGGCTCAGTGCATGGGCTCTCTGTCCTGATTACAAGAATCTCTGCAGTTATGCGTCAAGTGTCAGACACCGGCACAACTCTCAGGAAGGTCCCCGGCAAGGAAACCGCCAGAGAGGCCTCCTGGCGGGCGGGCCATACCCACGCAAGCGGCACCCAGAGGTGCTCCTGTTGCCAGAGGCGCCCGCTCCCGGGGAGAGCCCTGCGCTCCTGCACGTGAGGGAGACACGCCGGATGCCTCGCCACCCACGGCACGGTCCTGGCAGAAGCTGGAACACGTTCCCCAGTAGATCAGAAAGAACTCTCTGCAAGTGACACCCACCCTGAAGCCGGGGTTCTGGACATACGACCCATCTAGCTACTTACACCTGCAGGCGCTTACCGCCCCTGAGATCTCCTGTCTGCACCGGCGGCCACACCGAGCGTCCTACAACAAGCAACGTTGTCTTCCCAGCAGCGGTAACAGCAGCTGTGGTGTGGACACCCCTCTGTGCTCTGGGTCGCACAGGGAGCCCTCCCTCAGAAGGCACAGTGAGCTAGCGAAACGCTCAGAGGCCCGAGACTGCTCCGTCATCAGGAAAAGCCACCAACGCCTGCTGGCTTCGAGGAGACAACAGAGAAGACCGCCGGCCAGAGCAGCCATGCAGGGCAGCGCCGGAGGAAGGGCCCCCGAGGGAGTGCCTGGGAGGCTGCTCACACCCTCCATCACACGCCAGCACGACAGTATCCACACAGGAACGTTGCACACCTAGCACACCTAAGGTCTCCAGAGGTAAAACTGGACACAGACCATTAGCCAGCATGTCAGGCATGAAGACGAGAACTCCTATCACTTCTCAAAAGTCATCTTAAAATATGAAACCTACGATAAGAAGATACATTCTCAAGGCTTAGCTCCATTTAAATCTCTCCTCTGGAAAAAAAAATAAGAATTCTAATTTGACAGATAATCTAATAAAATACATCACTAATGAGATACGCACAAAAACACAAAACTTACCCATCCCAGTGGTTGATCTTCATGGTCACCAGGTGGTCTATCATTGGCTGTGTGTACTCAGGAAAGCCGGCAATAAACGTGCTAAAAAAGACAGTATTCAGAGGCGGTGAGGATGGGAAGGAGCAGGAACCTGCTTGTGAGAGGTGAAATCATACAGCCACGTTCAAGAATAGTTTGGCAGTTCCTTATAAAGTTAAATATACAGAAATCCCCCTGTAAGTATTTACCCAGGAGAAAGAAAGCTAAAGGCACGTGAAGACTTGCAAATAAAAGTTCACAGCAGCTTTATTCATCAGAGCCACAACCTCAAAACAGCCTAAACGTCTAGAACAGGTGAGCTAAGATGTACCCTGTAGCAGCCACGGGATAGAGACCACTCGCAACACACCGCATGCACAACATGCTGAGCCAAGAAGCCCGACGCGAGAGCACATCCCTTCTGATTCCACTTATGCGACATTCTACAAACAGCATCAGTGACCCACAGTGGTGGGCTGGGGCCGCCGGCCTGTGGTATCTCAATGAAGGTGGTCACCCAGGTGTGCGCACCGTCAGCTCTCACTGAACTGTGCCCCTCACTCCAGGACAGCTGACAGAGTGTAAATTATGCCTCAAAAATAAAAGTTATATCTAGTGAAAATAGTGTAGGACAATTAAGAAAAAAAATGTCCAAATAGGACAGGCCTCTCTACTTACAACTCAAAACCCATTAAAGGAGATTGGTACATTCAAACACATAACCAAAAAAGAAAAATGTCTGCCAGGAAAAACACACTATAAACAAAGTCAAAAGATAAAAACAAACTCAAAGAAAATATCAGCAACTGGTATCACAAATACGAGACTTTTTAAAAATAAAGTTGTTCCAAATCCATCAGAAAATACCATCACCTCATAAGATAATCCTCACAGACAGTTTACAGAGAAGAAAATGGACACAGCTCACATTCAGCCTCCTTCCTATGGGAGACAGAAAGAAAACCTCCGTCCATCTGCCAGACTGCCAAAGTCGGGAGCGAGGGGTGCAGCCACTGTTGGAAGGATCTAGAGGCATCTAGAAACGCGGCTGGGAGTACCCTTCCGGTGCAGCCTCTACGGACAGTAACTGGCATCAAACAGGAAATTGAAAACATAAAGATCCAGCGATCCCGTTTTTGTTAATTCATTCAGATACAACCACACAGGTGAGACGTACCATGCGCAAAAACACTCACTTCACATCGTATATAAATCAGCAAAAGATGAGACAGAAGCCGAAGGCCAGGAAATTACTCTCCGTCCACACAGAGGACACAGGACGCAGAGCGAACGTGCTGCACGCAAGCTGCCCGTTCGCACAGCACCTTCTGCCGTGTGGGGCGGTAACCCGAGCCACCTCCTGACCTCCCACAGCTGGACGGTCGTCCTCTGCGGAGGAGCACGGAAGCCACGCCAACCTTGTGCACCAGGCGCCACCGCTCGGTGTGCACCCGTCTGTGTGACATAAACTGACCCTCTCTAGGAGACGACCTGAGGGACTGACGACAACAAGGACTCCCGGGACAGAACCAGGACACAAGAGCACTCCTGAAAGACCCACGCCCTTGTGTTTCCCACTCCATTGCACATGTCACTCCCCTAAAACCCTCAATTGCCTACACATATCGTCTGAACCTGCCAGGCCATTCACACACCCCCACCACGGGCTGAGCCATCAGCCACATGTGCTACGTGGTGGTGAGAGACAAAGCGGATGGCACAGGGGCCGAGAAGGGTGCGTGGATGCTTCTGGATCCTGGGTGGACACACGTGTGCACATGCACGGGATGAATACGGGTGCTGCGTGGACATGCGTGTGTTACAAGGTGCCAGACTGAAGAGGGCGTTTGTTCTGGATGTGAAAGAAAGAAAAGCAGAGGCTTCTCCAGAGGCGAGACTGAGACCCTCTAACGGTGATGAAACAGATAAAGTCAGAAGGAAAAACAGAAAAAACCAGGACAGTGGACAAGCTGTCAGAAAAGGAGCCAAGATGTGACCATAGGACCCCCATCACCGAAGGGCCCCGGGAACTGCCAGACAGGACTGCCCCAGGCCAGCATCCATGACCAGTGGCCTCACGGGAAGAAACAGACAGGGCGAGCCACCTGAGCTCTAGTCAAGCTCTGGCACCAACTGACAGCTGACTGTGGGGAAGACACACGTCCGGAACCACCCCCCGGTGTACAGCACTCCCTGAGTGCTCAGGGTCTGCACGGAGGCCATGTGCAGTGCTAGGGAGGGTGTCAACAGAGGGTGGCAGGCGAGGTCCTGGCCACTGTCGGGACAGTAGGAGCTGAGCCACAGGGACAGCTGAAGGGATCAGCAGCATGAAGAGCACTTGAGGGCTATTAGGGACACAGAAGTGACAGAACTAGGTCACCAAGCGGATGCAGAGAAGGAGACAGTAGGAGAAGCAAAATGGAGCTGACTGTGTGGGTGGCGTGCTGTTCGCTGAGCTAGGAAGCAGAGAAGGAGAAAGTTTGCTCCGAGGGCCCCTTAGTTCGAAGAACTTGTATGACAGGAATGTGCAAATTACTGGAAAGCAAAATACAACAAAATGTGTTTCAAGAAGCATGCACAGGACCACAGACGTCAGAAATCTGCTAAGGACATCAAAAGGAATGAGATCTTGCCATTTGCAACGACGTGGATAGAACTGGAGGGTATTATGTTGAGTGAAATAAGTCAAACAGAGAAAGACATGTATCATATGATCTCACTGATATGAGGAATTCTTAATCGCAGGA